GCCGAGTGGTTAAGTTCTCGCGCTCCACTGCGGAGGCCCAGCGTCTTGCTGGTTTGGATCCTGGGCGCGGACATGACACCATTCATCAGGCCACGCTGAGGCGGCGTTCCACGTGCCACATCTAGAAGGAGCCACAACTAAAAATATACAACTATGTATTGGGGGGATTTGGGGAGAAAAAGCAGAAAGAAAAAAAGAGAAGATGGGCAACAGTTGTTAGCTCAGGTGCCAATCTTATTAAAAAAAAAAAAAGAAGGCTATGCATGAACCAATGATGAGGGTGTATCATGAACCAAAGACTTTGGTAATTCGAATTATCTGCACCTATGGTCCAATGAGAAAAAAGCAAAAAGCAGTCAGAGCTCCATATCCCTCCCTTGCATTCTGGGGGACTTCCCTTTTCCCACCCCAGGCGAATTCCAAAGGTTTACACTCTGGAAATGATAAAAATAGAAGGTCTTTGACCTGGGAGACCACAAGCCCAGACGGTAGTAGATACACCATACTGAAAAGAGGAGGGTTAAGTGAGCATTTAAAGTCTGAATGCTGAGGCCCTCCATCCTTTGCTGCACTTGGTTCCAAGAATACTAACATTCATGTCTGGTGTGTAACCTCAAAGCTTATCTGGGGAATCTGACTAGTCTTAGAGAAAAGACCTAAAGTTGTTGACATCAGGGGTTCTCCAAGGAAATGGCCCACAGTGATAAGCGTCACCTGGTGCCCACAGGCCTTTTAGCCATCCACCCTTATTACACATGCACAGACAGCCAGGGATCCCCAGCCATTTGGGCAAAGCACCTGCACTAGGTATCAATTTCTGGTTTCTCAGCCTCAGATCCACCATCCTTTGTAATTCTGGAGCTAGACTGCATACACATTGTCCCTTTGCCAATCCTTTTAAAAACTGAGCACAGAAGCCAATGGCTCAAGGTGCAGGAATCCTCGAAGACAAGCCGTAGTCGCACCCTCGGCCCACACTTCCCCACCCAACTGCAGCTTCTGCAGCAGCTCACACCTTACTTTAGACAAATCTCTCCCTCTGGTGATTGGCTCTATGGGCCAGTTCCGGCCCTCACCCTCTGGCAAGTTTCTTCACTACCAGCCGGTTCTGTTTCTGTGGAAACTGTGACTTCTTCAGAGAGGCCAACTCTTGGCTTGGTGGTGGGGGCTTAACTTAGTTCCTTGTGTCCACACTCCCTCAGCCTAGAAGTAGTAGCTACTGTTTTCCATCTGCTACTTTAGGACCCCTCAGAGTCCTCTCTTATCCCTTTGAGAAGTAAAGTACCTTTTACTAGTTAACATTTTATTTTAAATTTTTTGTGCTCAAACTGTGTGGTTTCTGTCTCCAGGCTGAACCCTGCAGAAACAGCCCACAGGACAGAGAAAGTGTGACCTGAAGGCTGCTGAGATGAGCGTCACCAAGTCTTCTCTATTCAGATCGACTCCTGTGCTAAATTAAAAAAAGGGGCCGGCCCTGTGGCCGAGGGGTTAAGTTTGTGAGCTCCACTTCGGCAGCCTGGGGTTTCGCTGGTGCGGCCCCAGTGCTGCTCATCAAGCCATGCTCAGGCGGGGCCCCACATGGCAGAACTAGAAGGACCTACAACTAGAATATACAACTATGTACTGGGGGGGGACTTTGGGGAGAAGAAGAAGAAGAAAAAAGACTGGCAACAGATGTTAGCTCAGAGCCAATCTTAAAAAAATAAAACAAAACTTAAGATGTGTGCTATTTAAAAAAAAAAAAAAAGCCAGAACCTGGAAAGAAAGTGCCCTCCTGCCACTGTCACCTTGCAGTGTCCCTCCAGTGTCCTTTATTTACAATTTCTAACACTGTCAGCTGGCAAAGGTGAAATGCTACACAGAAAAAGAAAGTAGTCATGGCTCAGCTGTGAATGGCATTTACATAGCATGATAGTGTAAACTGGAAATTGATCTAATCCAAATTATGCTGTATTGGGAGGATGGAGTGGAGTGGTAGAAAATACAAATGTGTGTCATAGAGTCAGGTATGTGTGTGAGAGACAGTGAGTGAAATCGTCTTCCATAATGAAATGCCAAAAGATAATGCCTACAACCGAAAAATCAACAGGTGGAAACAGATGCATATTTAGAGAGATGGAGGCAAAGAGAATTGACTGCATACATCCAAAAAGACATGTATGAGAATATTCATAGGAGCTTTATTCATACTAGTAAAAAAACAAAAACAAAAAAACCCCAAACTAGAAACAACTCAAATGTTCCTAGGTGAATAAATAATCTGTGGTACATTAACACAATGGACTGCTCACAGTAACAAAAAAGAATGAACTACTGATACACAGAATGACATGGATGAATCTCAAAGACAATACATTGAGCAAAAGAAGCCAGACTCAGAAGAGTGGACACTGTGTGACTGCATTTATACGAAGGCCAAGGACAGGCAAACAAATCTATAGGGCTAACAGAACACTGAATACTTTGTTTGGGGAGGGGGATTAGAAGTAGGAAAGGGCAGGAGGGAACCTTTTGATGGCAATGTTCTCTATCTTGATTTGGTGGTGGTTATATGAGAGTATATGTATATAAGAAGTCACTGAGATGCACTTATGATTGATGTCCTTTACTCTATGTAAGTTATACCCCCAATTAAAGAGAGAGCAATATGGAAACAAAACCCAAAAGAATTGGCTAAAAGAATTAAAGTAGGTTACCTTTAAGAAGCAGGAAATGGGTGGGTGGCAGATTCTTTGTAACAAGCCCTGCAGAACTTCTCTACTCTAAATACATGTGAATTTGTAACCCTGATAAAATATAACCTAAATAAAAGAAAAGAAAGACTATGAACTTTGGAGTTAGCTGACCTGGATTCAAACTGTCACCAGTGCATTCCCTAAGCAGCTTGAAGGAAGTTTAAAGGTGCTTAGCACTCCCTCACGGTTGTTTTCAGAGCCTCAGTGGGAAGAAATACCAGCGTCAACCAGCCTGAACCAGATCAAGTCCCACTGCAAGAGCAGCACTTGCGCAGATGGCCGGGAGATGACCAAAAGATGCCCTTTACTCCACCTTAATACTAATACCACGTGAGGACAGATTTGCAGACTGCACCTGCGCCAGCCAAGACCCGCCTCTACACATGATGACAAAACTTCACTTTTAAATATTCACTCCCCACCCAAAATAAAAGACACCTGCTTCCCTTTGTTCAGGGAGAGCCATGACTTTGTAAATGATTCTGCGTGGTCTCCTATTTGCTACAAATGAACTCTACTTTGCGTGACAACTACTTCTGGTGGAGGCTCTGATTTTAACTTGCCAGGAAGCTAACCCACTTTGGTTCTGTAACAAAGTGTCAGCTCCATCACTTGCTCTCTGGATAACAGTGGCAAGTCTCTGGTCCTCAGTTTCTCCATCCTAAAATAAGTTTAATAAAACCATGTGAAAAATAACTGAGTTTGTCCCTTAAAGCACTTATCAAAGTGCTTTACACATAATGAGTACTCAATAAATGCTAGTTTTCTCATCTACCATTTTCCTTCCAATAATATTTAAAATTAATCACACAGACTGAAGTTGGATGTGCATTACTCCTACTTACATTGTTTTCATCTTCCCACTCCAGACACCTCACAGCCCCACAGCCTCATTGCTCATTTATTCCCTCACCCCTTCATAGGTCATCTGCGATACTGTGATTTACAATAAGAAATACATATTTGGTCTTTGTCCCAGTTCCTGGCACAGAGCTCCTAAAACCCTTAGAATTTCCAAAGATATGAGAGCCATAAAAGTGTCTTGTTATGTTAATGAGGGGACTTTTGGAAAGCACCTAAGTAAGTCAGGACCTAACCCAACCAAGTGATTAGAGGGTTGGAACTTCCAGTCCCACCTGGGGAGAGTGGGGAGGGGTTGGAGATTGAGCTCAGTCACCAATGGTTAACGATTTAATCAACCATGGCTATGTAATGAAGCCTCCATAAAAACCTAAAAGGACAGGGTTTGGAGAGCTTCCGGGTTGGTGAACACGTGGAGGTTCTGGCAAGCTCCAAGAGATCACAGAAGCTCGGGGCCCCTTTCTACATACCTTGCCCTATGCATCTCTATCATCTGGTTGTTTCTGAGTTATATCCTTTTATACATAACAAACTGGTAATCTAGTAAGTAAAATGTTTCTCTGAGCTCTGTGAGCCGCTATAGCAAAATCAATCAAACCTAACGAGAGGGTCGTTGGAACCTCCGATCTACAGCTGGTCAGTCCAGAAGCACGGGTGACAACATGGACTTGCGATTGGCATCTGAAGGCGGAGGGAGGTGGGTGGGTGTCAGTCCTGTAGGACTGAGCCATTAACCTGTGGGAGCTGACACTATCACCAGGTAGACAGTGTCAGAATTGAGGTGAATTGTAGGACACCCAGCTGGTATCTGAGACTTGCTTAGTGGTGTGGGGAAAAACACACATTGTAATTGGCACCAGAAACACATGATCCAACTCACTTTTCCCTCTGAAAAGAGAACTGGGCTCCCCTCTCCCACCCAATAATTATCCATATAACCATCATTTCCTCTGTAGACTTCAGTTTTCTCACCAGTAAATCATGAGGATTGAACAAAATAATGTCTATGGTTCTTTCAGCACTAACATTTCATGGTTTCTTTTTTCTCTGAAATTTCTGTTTCTGTGAAGCCTTTCCCAGACCTCATTATGGCTCTAAAGATGTTTGGTGAGGTTTGTGATGTTGTCAAACATTAACAGATGGCATGCTGCTTACAGGGAACAGGTTGGGGGGGGGCTGAGCGCTGCCTCCTCTCATCTCTCCAAATGCTAAGAGCCATGTGGCACTGAGTTAATGCCTCTCCCCTATGACCGGCCTTTGCTGAGCGACATGCATGTCGCACTGCACTAGAAGTGTTACCACTAGGATCAGGTGAATTCTACGGCACCTCTTCCTTCCTGAGGTAAACAAGGCTTTCAGTGCAAGCTAATAAACACAGCTCTCCTAGGTGTAATAGGCACTTACCTGCCCAAAGTGATGAGCCAAAATAATGTCCACAACATTGGTTGTCAAGCCGGAGAGCTAAAAAGATAAAAACTCTGTGTCAAGGGAGTAAGCATATACAAAAATTTATCAAGCTGTCCACTTAAGATTAATGTACTTTATTGTATATGTTGACCTTCAACAAACAAAAACACAACTCAGTGTCACACATTTTCTTGAGATGGTGGTTTCAAGAGACACGAGAACAAGAAACAAGTCAGAAAAAAAACAAAAAGTCTCCCTTCCAGGTTAATATAGCCTGTTTTGAAAAAGGCAGCTGGAAGAAATGCTGGCCATTCCTTCTTTGAAAACTGGAGACTTAGAACTCACGGCTATTAGCCACTTCATTCCTGGCTGTATTTCTGCATTTACACCGGATTTACGGCTAATAAGGATCAACTTACAACCACTCCCAAGCCACCTGAGAGAAAAAAACCAATTTTTTTTTCCTTTCCTCCAGTTTTTGCTATCTTCAGCTCAGGGAGTGGGAGGAAATAGCTATGTTTACAGAATGTTCTTGTGTTTTGAACATTTTTCTCCTAATTTTTCCTACTTCAAAATGATGCATCTCACAGTCTAATAAATGCAGCAATCTGCACAGATCTGTAGACTGTTCGTCTATTTTCAGAAAAATTTCCAACTCAAATTACACTGCTGATTCTCCTTAAGCCTTCTTCCTTGGTTTTATGCTCAATTCCTACTGCTGACTCAGAACAGAGTGAAGTGCTGAGTCAGGGGTGGGGATGGAGGAGAGGAGAGAGACAGACATGGATATGGGTGGAAGAGGATCACACAGTCTCAGAAAGATTAAGAAGAAAGAAGTCCAGAAATCTCCACATGGGTTATCAGTGATCCACAAGTTATAAAGATAATCAGAATTTAATAACCAATCTCATTTAGTGTTTAATACTCATAAGGTCATTCTGAAGTTTTATCAGAATTTTAGGTTGTTACATGTTACTGACAGTGTTCAGGTAAGGTTTAATTCCTATCATACTAGATAGGAATTAGAACAAATTTTAAATAAGTCAGGTTGTAAAAAAGAATTTCCACAGCATTTGGCAATAGCATTGTTAACACAGTTCATCCAAAGCTAGGGTATGAAACTGTGGGGGACCAGAATGTCTCCCACCCCAAAATGTGTCTCTTTGCCTTGATTATCTTTAAGAACAAAAGACTCCAAAAGAAACTTTGACCTGCCCCCTGCCTAAATAAAAGAATTCAAGATAGAAGGTCTGTTCCAGGACAGGCCGTCACCATAGATAACTCTGGGTATGGTAGGCTGGGAGGAGCCTTGCTAAGCCCTAAATATTTATCAAAGTTCTCTCTCTGGTCACACTGTCTATAGATGGCCCAGCAAACATTTGTTTACCAAACATTTGCTTTTTCATCTCCATGTAAGTTGCCTTCCTCCCCTTTGAAGTCCCAGACCACGACCCCAAACATCCTCCTTTGTCTTTAGCTGAAGATGGTATTTAAGGTGGTGGCTTTGGTCGTTTTGGTAAGTTTCTCAGTTTTCCTGGGTTTCTCCCATGAATACACGTTATACAAACAAATCAAACCTTGTTTGATTTTCTCCTGTTATTCTGTCTCACATCAATTGATTCTCAGACCAGCCAGAAGGACCTAGAAGGCAGAGGAATAGTTCTTCCTCCCCTGTGCATCGTTTCTCCAGAATTTAAATGTGGGGAGGGATGAATAAATTTTTTAGAATTTGGTCTGCTGGTAGATGGAATATTTTAATATTTTAAAATAATCATAAAAGCAATACATGCTTATTGTAGAAAATTAGGAAAACACAGAATATGAAAAAGAAAATAAAAATAATTTGTAATGCTACCAGCCAAAGATGTAACTGCTGGTAACAAATTATTTTCTCTCTTTTCTCACGCATATATGTATTTAACAATACTGGGACATACAAAGTTTTATGTCTGTTTTTTAAACGTGACAATTTTCTCATTTCCTTAAATAACCAAATAATTTTTGGGGTGCATAGTATTCCATTCTATGGTTGTATCACAATTTTAAACAGTGAATTAGGGGCCAGCCAGTGGCGCAGCAGTTAAGTGCACACATTCTGCTTCAGTGGCCTGGGGTTCGCTGGTTCAGATCCTGGCTGCGGACATGGCACCACTTGGCAAAAGCCATGCTATGGCAGGTGTCCCACGTATAAAGTAGAGGAAGATGAGCATGGATGTTAGCTCAGGACAAGTCTTCCTCAGCAAAAAGAGGAGGATTGGCAGCAGTTAGGTCAGGGCTAATCTTCCTCAAAAAACAAACAAACAAACAAAAAAACCCAGTGAATTACTTTTTAGCATGGGAGAGTTCAATGCAAATAGAATATAATATAATGCTTTTCCCCTTACTCCCTCTTTCACTCTGGTTGTTGCTGGGATTACTTATATTTGTAAAGTCATTAGCACACCCCTGTAGTTTCCTATCTCTTTGAACAGATTTTAGACAGCATTCCATCTGGATAGCAAGTTCCAACTAGATAGCAAATATCTTCATTTTTCAGACAGCAAACATCTATAATCTGTGTGTCTTTGGGAGCAGTAGCACAAATAAACTATTTGGGTTCACTGAAGAGAGTGATTAATTCATTCATTTCACTCATGAAAAGAGTACAAATGCAAACCACAGATTGGGAGAAGGTATTTACATGTACTCAGCAAAGGATTCCTAGGCAGACCATGTAAAGAACTCTCATACATCAATTAAAAAAAGAGACCAACACGCAATTTAAAAAAAGGCGGGGGGGGGGGGGAGGCAAGAGACAAGAACAGTCACTTCCAAAAAGATATTCAAATGGCCAGTTTTAAAGAAAGTGCTGGACATCATGGGCCCTTAAGGAAATGCAAATTAAACCCCAACATTATTTACCCATAAGCATAGATTAAAATTGAAAAGATAGTACAATTAAAAATCATTTTTTAATAACTAAAGCTATTTAAGTGATGGGTTCCATATAAAAAACTAATATTACAAATAAAACTATTCATCTTTTACAAAATTAAAAGGACTAACTATCAAATGTCGGTGAGGATGTGGAACGACTGGAACTTTCATGCAGTGCTGGTGTGCAAACTGGCCAAGCGCTACAGAGGACTGGCGGTCTCTACCAAAGCTAAACACACGACTGCCCTCTGACCCAGCAGTTCCACTCCTAGGTCCGGGCCCAAGAGAAACGAATGTGTGTGTCTACTGAAAGACGTGTAAAAGGACGCGCACAGGAGCTTTATTCATAATAGTCGAAAAACAAACAACTCATTGCGTGTACTCACACAATAGACTACAAAACAGTTAAAAAGAACTACTGCTACACACAATATGAATGAGACTCACAGACGACGAATGAAAAGAAGCTAGACACAAAAGAATATATATTCTATTCTTCCATTTATGTGAAGTTTAAGAATAGATTAAACCAATCTATGGTGACAGAAGTCAGAGTCAGACAGTTATTTCCGGAAGGAGAGGAAGTATTAATTAAGGGAAAGGCACCAGGGAATCCTCAGAGCTGGAAATATTCTGTATACTGAATTCTGTATACTGGGTGGTGATTACATACAGAAACACTCGTCAAGCTGTATACTTAAAACTTCTTGCCCTTAACTGTATACACCTTGATGAAAAAAACAAAAATAAGACAGACAAGCCATTCTGAGAAGGGACCAAGCGATGAGCCAATGGACACGATTTGGTGCTTACTTTGGAAGCTGCCCAGTCAATCCAGCCTTTAGCACACGGGTCAATGTTAATGAGTACAAGGCCTTCCACAAGCTCTGGATGATTGAGCTGAAATACGAGACAAAGACAACAGTATGAAAGTTCCACTCCCGGTATTCTTCTAAAAATGTTGCAGCATGGTTCATCAATTCTTACTATGCCTCAATGCCTCAGATTTGCAAGTAAGATTTCAGAGAGGTGCTAGGGAGGATATCTGGAGAAAGAGCTCTTTAAATCTGACTTAGCATCTGGAAAACCAGTTTCTTAAATTGCTATCAAATGATCTTGCCTTACAAGGATCTACGAGGGAGACATGCTTTTCATTTCTACAGCAGAGGAAGGCACCTGGTGTCTCTGTAGTTGTTAAGCTCATGGTGGGTCTTCCCTGCTGCGGAGGTGCCCTTGGAGCTACCCGGCATCAGCAGCTGCTGAGGCTTAGACTGGCTACTTCACACTCATAGACCTTTGTTCCCAATAGGGGCTCCTGAAGGTTCTTTTTTGAAACCATATGAATAGGTGATACCACCCCCAGAAGACTATCCTATCACCTAGAGGCATCTGAAAAACACTTCCTTAAAGAAAAATCAACAGGAACATTTCTATGTAAACTCAAAACTCTCTAACTTACTTTTCCCCCTGTGATTACACTGATTATGCTCACTGTAGAAAACCTAAGAAACGGAGAAGTGATAAAAAACAGAAGGTAAAATCTCCTATGATCTTACCACACAACATCAATCCCCGGTAATACTTTGGTGTATTTCCTTCCAGTCCTTTCCTATCACTATGACAAACTACATGAATCTGTATTCTAACTCTGTTGTTGACGTTACAGGATATGCGAAATCGCATATCATTACAAGCTCTTCTTACAAAATTTTAACGGCTGTACAAAATTCCATCATAAGTGTCCTCTAACAATTACTCTTTACTGATGATGTACTGCCCTCATTTGTGATTTTTCAGGTACTATAAATTCAAAGCAAGGCTTTTATACAAACCTATATGCAGAGAGCTGACAGAACTCACAGGAAAACTGACATGAGACCCGCAAGAAAACCTGGTCACTTAACACAGCAATAAGAGCTGTGACCCAAGCAGTGCCTCAGGGTGTCGAGACTAATCCTCCAGGTACTTACTGCAAACTTGCTGAGGATATAAGCTCCAGCTCCAACGCCAATTCCAACGATGCTTTTCAGACTGTGAATGGGACACACCAACACTGACAGGATTAACTCATGTGGAGGTAGCATGGCATAACGGAAAGAATGCAACTGGGTTCAAATCATGGCTCTGATGCTTACTGGATATAGAATTGGGTCAAGTTTCTTTAACTTTCTGAGCCTTGGTTCCCTACCTATAAAACAAGGATATTACCACTTATCATTTTTGACTAAAATAAAAAAGTTGATTTTAAGGGTTAAGTGAAATATGACTAAAACCTCTGAGTTGTCCTTGACAGCTCACTCTCCTATCACCTCCACGTCCAACCCATCAGCAGGTCTGACAGAGTCTACTTCCAAAATACTTCCATCTATCTCCAGCTACTTCATTCCATCCCCCAACAGCACCCAGCACCAAGCTATCATTATCTCTTGCCTGGCCTGTTGTCATAGTTTAACTGGTCTCCCTGCCTTTCCTCTTTTACTCCTCTCTAACCTATTCTCTCCACAGCTAAAGTAATCCTTTTTAAAAAAATTTAAACAGCTTTATTGATGTTCAATTTACATAGCTACAGTGATCATTATTTTTAACTTTTTTTTTTTAGGAAGATTAGCCCTGAGGTAACATCTGCTGCCAATCCTCCTCTTTTTGCTGAGGAAGACCAGCCCTGAGCTAACATCCATGCCCATCTTCCTCTACTTTATACGTGGGACGCCTACCACAGCATGGCTTGCCAAGCAGTGCTATGTCCACACCCAGGATTGAACTGGTGAACCCCGAGCTGCCAAAGCGGAACGTGGGCACTTAATTGCTGCACCACTGGGCTGGCCCCAGTGATCACTTTAAATGACTAAATGAATACTATTCCCCTGCTTAAAACCTTTCAATGTTTGTTCTTTGTCATTTGAATAAAATCTCAAATTCTAACATGATCTGTGAGATCTATGAAACCTAGTTTTTGTCTATTTCTCTAATTTCACCACATGCCCTTCTCCCACTTGCTCATTTGGTCCAGGACTTCTGGACACATTATTCCTTCTGTCTGGAACCCTCTTGCCCTGGCTCTCCGTCTAGGTAGTTCCTTTTAATTATCCAAGTCTCAGCCGACAGCTTCTTAGAGAGGCATTTCCCAACTAACCTTATCCGTGTAGATCCTGGCCTTATTCTCTAACACAACACCCCTGCTGACTTCTTCTATAGCACTTTAGTTGTGATGATTTGTTTGCTTGTCAACTATTTCCCCCAAGAAGATGTAAGCTCCATGAGGGTAGTGCTATCCTGTTTTGCTCACCATCATACTCCTTAGATCAGACACACAGTAGAAAGTGAATAAAAACTGTGTGAAAGAGCTGCAGAATGAACCTACCTTAAGTGGGTAAGAATAGGAGGCAGCATTTCAGCCAGCTCATCCATTGTGGGATACTGGTACCTGAAATCCAGAAGGATATCTCCTGAATGAGAATGCACCCACATTTCCCAATCACTAGACCAGCTAGAAAAGCACAGGCTTCTTAGACAAACGCATTCCCTTTACCAAAGACTCAAAGGTGTCTGGAAATGATGGTGGCATGTTATGTGACTCTCTACAACCACCATGCTAAGAAGAAAGTAAAAGAACCTATATATTTCTATATCCTAAAGAGCAGTCTCTGGGATCGAGGAAGCCATTTGAAAAGAACAGGTAATATGGCTCTCAGGGTATTTCCCAATTCCTAACAATCACTTCAATTGGGGAACAGGCTCAGTAAACTTCCAGCAGTAAGAGTCAACTCAGAAAGTGGCTCTTGGTCTGCTGCTTCTATTTAGACAGCTAAATGCAAAAGTGAACAAAGCTTTCCAGGGCCTAAGCACAGAGTCACAAATCCCAGGCTCCTCATCATGAATGCTGACTTATTTCACTTGGGCACAGGATAACATGGTTACTTTATTGCTTTTGCATTTGGTTTATGATATGAACCTCTGGCTCCTAAGATGGTCAAGCAAGCTCAGGAATAGACTCAGACTAGGAATCCAAGAAAAGCAGGGAGCATCCACAGAGATTACAGAGTCAAAGACGGAAGGGATCGCTGGACAACCCTCCGATAAATGAGGCAGGATCTGTTCTACATCTGACAGGCAAGTCAGCCTGCCTCTGCTTGAAACACTTTAAGCGATAGAGCGCTCTTAAGCCATCTGTGCACAAAATAGAAAAAAGGAACTGGATCTAAATCTTGTTGAATATAAACTGGTCGCTAGCCAATTTGTGTTTGAGAGACAGACCAGCTCAGACATAGTCAATGACATGGACTCTAGAGCTAGACGGTCTGGGTTAAAATCTCAGCTCTGCTACTTAATCGTTATGTAACCTTGGCCAAGTTACTTAATATCTCTGGACCTCAGTTTCCTCATTTGTAAAATGGGAATAATAGTGAACCTATCTTATAGGGTTGTGAGGGTTACGTGAGTTAATAAATGTAGAGTATTTAAAGCAGTGTCTGGAATACCGTTTGAGTACTATACAAGGGTGAGCTATTATTCGTCTGCAAAGGTCTATTTCACAGCAGTCACTGGCAAGGGCACCTCTGGAGATGAGTCAAGGTCAGGGGAAGCATTAGCATCCCACAGCTTGTGCTTTCACTCCTCCTCCCACGGTCCCCTCAATCTCCCCTCTGTCCAGGGAGGAGTGAGGGAGACTGTGGACCCGCCACGCAAAGCAGGCTCAGAATGAAGCCGAGAGCTCCAAGTCCGGTCAAAATGCAGCTCTACCTGACAGGGGAGCTTCTCAGAATAAATGGTTACACAGACATTCAAATACCTGCCACCAGACTGGGAGGCAGGGATGGGGCAGTGCTCCCAAGAAGCTCAGGGGGATCTGAGTTTGGACCTAGGTGGTTGGGAGATGCAGGAAGGGGCACAAAAACAACAGATTTAAAACACATGAGGAAGGGGACAGAGAAAAGGCAAGAAGTGTGTGTTCCAGGCACGTGCCTTGTAATTACAGGGAAACAGACTCCCATCTAAGGAGAGCCATTCCTGGAAATGGGAAAACATGCAGTTTTCCTCAACAGACTGTACCTAACAGTCCTCTCATAGCAGGGAGAGAAAATACGAGGATGGTCGGTTGATAAGCATAACCTGTAGGCTGTGCTGAAACCAAGTGGGAAGGGAACCACAGGCTACTTCTCCCACTGGAGCTCTTCGGAGTGCCTATCTTCCAGAAGATCCTGCTTGTGGCCTTACCCTGTGGGGAAAGACGGTGCACCTTCCTGCTGGCCTGGGGCATCCACGTGACAGACAGCAAAGTGCTGGGTGATCTCCTGCATATCCTCAAAGTTAAAGAACGCATTGAAACAGGATTTATCTGCAAGAGTAAAAATACTCCTAAGTTACAGGCTCTCTATTTCTCCCCAATTTTCTTCTACTCAACCAACTGCGTATCCTCGTCCTCTTTCACTCCCTTTTAATCACTGCTCCACTAAAGGGAGGTGTCTGAACAACCTGTCTTATTCAAGCTGCCCTAAAGGCTGAATACCAGACATCTCGATGACTTGCAAATGATAACCGATTGTCAATTCTACGCAATGTCTACAAAGTGGAAACCAATCCTAGTATTGCACAAAATCACCTTACATCCACAAGGCTGTCATTTCTCACGCACTTAGTTAGCATATCTGACACAGACGCTGAGTATATCCCAAGAACCTGGCTAGAGAGAATATCTTGGGCTGCTTACATTCACCACACGGAAGGCTGTCTCTTGGCAAAATTGCTGGGGTGCAGGGAGGGGCTTCTGCTCCCTTTTCTACCCTGCTCGTCTAACCACTTCTGAGTCACTCCTCAGGCTAAGGCGGTGAGAAAAGCTCCAGCGCTAGTCTGTAGCTTCATATGCAGGCCATCTCTGAAAGCCAGGGCAGCACGGGAGAAAACACACGTAGACAGACTCTGTATGCCTGTGGCCAGGGCCAGAGTCTTATCTAGAAAGTCTGTCTAGAAAGGTCCACTTAAAGTCACCGATGACAGGCTATAGCAAGAATTCACTGAAGGGCTCACAACAAAATTAAGTGCAAACTCTGGATTTTCTAACCTAAACTATGGAAAAACCAAAGAAGTGTAGACTTAAAAAAAGAAACTGATTTCAGTTCTACTTTCCTAACCAGTTCATCAAATAATCTTCAGTCCTTTAGCAGATATGACACAAAGGCAAGATATGATTCCAGCACCCCCCAAAACGCATTCTCCAGGGAACTTGAACCATGCCATTAACATATGCAGCAATGAGGAGAGAAGGTGAAGGCAAGGAGAAAACCTATGCTCTATTAGATACTAGGATTTCTTGTGTGGGTGTTTTGTTAAATATACAAATATTAAGTATTATAATAAAAAGAGAAGGTATAAAATCAAATACATACGATTGAGGCCAATGTCATGATATGTCAGAATAACTGGTCTGTTTCCCTTTGGTAGGCCTCTTACAGTGACATGGATCAAACCATGAGTTGTTTCTATGTCATGTTCCTGTAACAAGAGAACGTAAGGTCTCAGCAAAGGCACAATGGACCTCCCAGGTTGCAGAATTTTCATAGTACCTGATTTACCGCTATTTCCCACTATCTGGGGCAGAACACATCACTGAAGTCTAAGCATACCAGAGATGCTCTATTATACAGAATATTCTTACTTTCTAATTCCTTCCAGATAAACAAGCAAACAAATAAATGAAGGAAAAATACACCTTCTTATCCACAAAGCTCACTTTCCTAACTAGGGAAAGTCAGGGATCTGTTGAGAATATATTTGCAACTGGCTATGGAAAGATCAGCAAGTTGAGTAGGGAGCCGGGTAAGACCTGGGGAAAGAAAAGTTAAGGAAGCAGAAGATATGAAGAAGTTACTGGGTAAAAAGCCAGAGGCTTCGGAGCCTCTAAACTCACGTTCAGCAACTGATAAATTCAGTAGACCAAGGGTGTATCTGCCTAAAATCTCTCCCCTCTCCTGGGAGCTGACCTTCTCTGTGAACCATCCATCACAGGGCGGCTCTTGGCTGCCATGTTTGTGGACTGTAACCTTATGGCCAGGGCTTGCGGGAGTCAGGTGGGCATCTGGTCCATGCTGGGTCAGCAGCCCTCCCTGAGAATTTGTAACTGGGACTAAGATTCTATCCTCGGCTTGGTTCCTCTCTTGAAAAGAGAAGTAAACTTGGAAGCTTACAGTAGGCATTTCCACTGCTCTAATTCCTGCTTCTAGCTGTGTGTGCTCTTAAGTTGTGAGATATCCCTGGATTGCCTCTGGTTTAAACCAGTTTGAGCATGTGTGTTCCCTGCACCCCAAAGGATCCTAACCAAGGCAATGAGTAAAGTTTAAATTATAGCCAGAGCCGAGCTCAAGAACTGAATAAAGCTGGAACAGGATGCAACTCGAGCTGCTGGGACCAGCAATAAGAATGGTTGGGTAGAAAAAAAAGAGACTGTAGAAAAGTTAATTCAGATTTATTCTAGTCTTCTTCAATGAAATAAAAAAATTATCATGCTTAGCCCAGCGAATTTTTGCAGACGAAGTCCACACCTACCTCAGAAAGCCTCACAGTAGGTAAGACAAGATTAACTCTTAGCAATAAGAACCCTAACAGGGGCCGGTCCCGTGGCTGAGTGGTTAAGTTCGCGCTAGTTCGGATCCTGGGTGCAGACATGGCACTGCTCGTCAGGCCATGCTAAGGCAGCGTCCCATGTGCCACAGTTAGAAGGACCCATAACTAAAATATACAACTATGTACTGGGGGGATTTGGGGAGAAAAAGCAGAAAGAAAAAAAAGAAGATTGGCAACAGTTGTAGCTCAGGTGCCAATCTTTAAAAGAAAAAAAAAGAACCCTAACAAAAGCAAAGGGCTTCCAACTTAATTTCCTATCTAATAATGAACCTCATCAGTGCTTTGGTTTCTTCTCTGATTTGGGACACAGAACAATCTTAGGCTAACTGAACACCAGTGTATCTCAAATCACAGGCCCCAGGCTGGAGCAGACATCTCTATCAAAGCAAACCACAAGTGACTCAGTAACTCTGCTATTCTCTATTACTGCTACCTCCTATTCAAGCCTATTCAAAGGCTTGGAAAAAAGTAAGAAATGAAGGAGAGAATTAAGTACTGGGAACCGGCTATGAAATAAAGCATAGGGTTTGGGTGGGAGGAATACAAGGACACAAATTTCTGTTACTGTGTGAGCATTTCTCTTGTAGTAATGTCTGACTTATTGAGGAACCCCCTCCACCACCACCATGCTCAGTCATTAAACGCCACAGTATTTACCGAACCCCTACTACCAGACCCTCGACTGAACTCTGGGGATAAAACAGTGAACAAGAGAGATGTGACCCCTGCTCTCACACAGACTATGTTCTAGACAGGGAGGCAGACAATAGACACACCAATCCACCAACCTATAATATTAGCTTGTAATAAGTGCTATGAAAGAAATAAATAGGATGCTGTGATAGAAAATTGAGGAAGAAAAATTAACTCTATTAGCAGTCAGGAATGTGAAAATTCAACGAGGTGTGTCTTTACACACACTAGAACGGCAAAAATTTTAAAGTCAGATAACACCAGTGTTGGCCAAGATGTAGAGAAATAAGAACTTTCACGCACTGTTGGTAGACATCCAAACTGGAATTACTACTCTGGAGAACAATCTGGTAACTTCTAGCAAAGTTAAGAGGTGTCTATCCTTCCACAATTTTACTTTTAGGTATAATTGAAAGAAATTCTCAAACATGGTCACACACACAAAAAAGTTATGCACAGAGAGGTACACTGCAGCCTTATTTATAATGTCAAAAAAACTGGATATAGCTTAAATATTCATCAATAAACTGGTAAGTGAATTATGACATTCATATAATGAAATACAGATAAAAATGAACTAGAACTATAAGCATTAATACACAGAGAAAATCTTGAGAACACAACGCTGAGTAGAAATGCAGAAGGATATGTATATAATACATTCATCACTTTAGTAGTAAAAAAGTAACACTACATAGATTGTATACATTTACACACATATAAAGTGTAACAACATGGAGGAAAAGGAAGGTACACTAACTTGAGGATTTGTTTCCTTCTAGGAAGTGACAGATTCAGAAAGGGAACTTGAGGAGGCTTCGATGTCTCTCATGTTTTATTTCTTGAGAGAAAGAAAGAATAAAGACGGAGAGAGGGAGAAGCCAGCCCCTGCCAGATGGGTGACACTACAAGAGAACCCAAACTGAAGAGAATGTGCAATAATTTGTCATCTTGACAATCTAGTTTCTGGAGCCTTCCTTTTGTCATATCTAAACCTTCAATAGAGTCTTGCTTAAATATTCCAGCTTGGCCTCAGCTGTGCTACTGAGAACTGAGGGAAAAACCAGTTTACACTCTCGCCCTAAGGTTAGCAGGAACCCCAAGGCCAGGTAATTGGTGGGGACAGTGTGCGTGTGGAGGGGTGGAGTTGGGGGGGGACAGTGAGCTGTGAGGGAAGTTCAGGAGAAGGATGATGAAATGAGAGATATAACAGATGGTGCAGAAGAGAATACAGTACAAGTAGATGAAAGAATAGGGCAAAGTAACTACTATGTCATCACTTCATAAGCCGGACGAAATTCAGAGTTAAAATTGGCTCATAAAATTTCAACTTTTTAGGGAGAAATCAGCCCCTACTTTCCCATGACATGCCCCCAAATTGTGTAACAGCCAAAGTATCAAAGGGCCAACAGTCCCAGGCCCTATTCATTAAGCCCTCCGCCCTATTTGGAGCAATTCTTGGTTGTCAGTGTCTCCTCTAGTTTTTCTTCATTTTCAAAGTATGTGAATGAAAATGTTCTTAGCAGAGCACAGCATATGAAAAGAGACACTCACCTTCATGTGGACTTGTAAATATATCCTTGGCGACCCTGTGTGTGAATAGCTTGAACAGGTCTTTATCTGGAGACGAGTGTGCAGAGACCCTGGCTACGGAGCTGACTCACTGGTCAGGCCACTGCAGGGGTGATGCTATGGTCACCCTTCTGCTTCAGTCAACTACCATCTGCTTCACAGCCTGCTTCTCCAGTTACCCACCCTTCATCCCAGCATTCTAGAGGGTGTGATGACACAATGAGGGCACAGCCCAAGGTAGTGTCTAATAGGCTCTGGTCACAGATCCTTCCCACCGCTCTTGGATTATTTACCATCTCCAAGGCCATGTACTTCTTGAACACGATCCCTTTACTCTCCAGGCTTATTAAACAATCTGAAATCATACTGATCCCCGACACACTTCTCCATCCTGGATTGCCTCTCCCTCTTAATCAAAGATGTAGTTTTAAGAGTCTTTTTAAGAATTTAAGAGTTTAGGATATTACCATTAATTGATAATAATCAACTTTCACCTTTTTTTTCTGAGTCTTCTTCCTTCAGCTAAATGTGCTGTCATCAGAATTGCACAATCTGACTTGTCACATGTCTCTGAACTCAGTTAAATTTTGATCACTTCATGCCTGCTAGTACTTCTTCCTTTCCCTGGCCAGTCTGGAATAGATAGGTAAACTTTGTGACAACACACTCTTGGAAATGCCAACATTTGTATTAGTATAAAATTTTATTCTAATTAAGCAGACTACCATATAGGCCTTGGGTATAGTTTTTGTTATTATACAGGAATTTTTTTTTTAAAGATTGTATTTTTCCTTTTTCTCCCCAAAGCCCCCTGGTATGTAGTTGCATATTTTTAGTTGTGGGTCCTTCTAGTTGTGGCATGTGGGCGCCGCCTCAGCATGGCCTGATGAGCGGTGCCATCTCTGCGCCCAGGATCCGAACCGGCGAAATCCCAGGCCACCGAAGCAGAGCGCGCAAACTCAACCACTCAGCCACGGGGCCGGCACCCCAGGAATTTTTGATGTAATGCCCCTGCTACCTTACCTCTGTGTAGTGGTATAAAAGTTCATTTGCATAACCTCGTTTAATCCTGTAGTAAAAGAATCTGCCTCCACAATGAGTCAGCCTTCTGCCTATCAGTAGATCAGTTCCCTTTTGAAAGTTCTCTAATACGTTTTCCCTGACTCTAGCCTCAGCTGTCTCCCCTCTTACCTCTTACATCTGTCAGCCTAGTTCACTAGTTCACACCCCTTCAGACATCTTTTACTTTACAACCACCCACAACTCTCAGCCTTCTCATAAATCATGCTCTTCATTTGAAAGCTTCTTTTGCAATACGTCAACATAAAATCTATCTTTTCTTCCTTCAAAGCCAACTCCAATATCTTCCTCATATAGCCTTAGTTAACAATGAGAAAAAGTGAATGACTAACCCAAAGCAACAGCCCAGAACACCTTCAGAACATGCACTCTCTAGGAAAGTCTAGATAGGAAGGGGTCCAGGTCTGGCCAATTCAAACACCTCACTCTCCAGCCACAGTGAGCGGTCCAGGGATGTGCAAGTGAGCCCCCTCCCCCCGCCCCCACCATACAGGTGACCCAGGCTGAACCAACAAGAGTCCTCTCCTGGCCTTTTCCCTAGAGTTACAGGTAAAGATCTTCTCTTAACAGTAAGGCTGCTAAGCTGGAAGGATGTGTTTCGGGCAGTTGGCAGCCATCATGCCTACGATGTGACAGAGCTTGTCTGAGAAATAAACTCTCTAGTGACAAAAGAAAAGGGAACTGAGATTGGGAGTGGTGATAAAAAGGACTGTAGCTTTTTCCGTAAGATTTTTCCCCCTAAATGAGAATGAAGTCACCTGTATCCTTAGAACTTAATATCAACCTCCCCTTCACTCCTCTGCAAAACAACAACAAAGTCAACCCAAAAGGTGGGGGGCATCTCAAGGGGAGGAACTGTGAACAAAAGCCATCAGAAAGGAAGAGCACAAAGCAGAAGTGCTGGTCGGTCAGCAATAATTCCATCTTCCTGGGGGTGGGTGGGTATACAAAGGGAAGCAGTGGGACAAGAGGCTCAAAGGTGGACTGGAGGCACGTTTACATTCCTCAAGGCTAGGGGAGGATTGTGGAACTGATCGAGCTCTCTAACACAGACTGCAGCAGGTGGCTGAACCCCAGCTCTCCCCAAAAACCTCTTTTCTGTGAAAGGGACTTTCAGCATCTTTATTTCACTTAATTCTTATTTTGTAACAATGTCCATTCATCAAGTGATCTGCAAGAGTTTAAAGCTCTTTAAACTCCTTTAGAAAAGGAGTCACATACATACATTCGAATTGTGGTACTAAAAACCAGCCCTCACAGATGGTTCTATAAATTAGTCCTCTAAAGAGCTACTGCATTAAACAGCCAGCAATGAAACCACTCATCCCTCGGCCATGCCTGGATTATCCTAGGAGCAAGAACTCCATTCTAGTGAGTTCACTCCATTATCAACCTCTTCTATAGGAATGATATATCCTGGCAGATAGCAGCTTTTCACTCCATTAATATTTATTGAGTACTCCGCTGGTGGAAGTGGAACACAATTTGACAAGTATGCCAAGAGCCTTAAATACGCTCATTCCAAGAAACCATCTAAGGAAACAATCCAAAGTGTAGATAAAATTTATTCACAAAAATGTTCAGTGAACTGAACATATAGGCAATTTAATTTCCCAAAATAATGGAATAGTTAAGTTATAGTATAGCTACATGATGAAATAACAGGCAGCCACTAAAAATTATTTTTATGAAAGTTTTAAAACGACATGGAAATGAGATTGTGTTCTAATATTAAATCAGAAAAGGGGATACAGAATTGTATACCGTGTGACCAACCATATAAATCAAAAAATTATTGTATAAAAATCACACAGACACACATCTCAACACTAAACATATTAACATGTTTGTCCCCGGGTTACAGGGTTACGAGTTTTTCTCTAGCTATTTTATAATTCTCTGTGCTTTCCAAATATTCAACTATGAGCATGTACTCTTTTGATAACCAGAATATAAAAGTAAAAACTGCAAAGAAATAGAATAAAATATGCTTATCTCTAAATAGCAGGATTATAGGTAATCTTTATTTTTATACTTTTCTGAATTTTCTAAATCTGCTTCTGATTATACACAAGATAAGTGTTATTTTTTAAAAGCAATATATCATATACACAGAGAAGCTACAGCATCTCTCTCAGCTCTAATTCCAAACTTTTAAACAGTCTCACAAGGAGAGGAGAATTCAGCGGCACTGAAGGAGATAAATGGACAATAAGCTTGCTGATTCACTGTTTCAACCGGCAATAGGCTCCTTTCTCCTCAATTCTAAGGATGTCACCTCTACTCACACCTTCCCCTGTCACTCTTAAATCCAAATATAACTGCTGTTTGCCTCAGAGGAACTAAACAGCAATGAAATCACTCAGGACAATCAAGGAACCAAGAGAAATGGTACCCTTTTAATTACTCTTTCAATTAATGGGGGGAAAAACCCACACAGTTGATTAGTAAAGAATACAGAGAGGGGAAAGGCTGTTCAGACTAAAGTTGTAAGCTTGGTTGATGATGCTAAGATAACTTCCTGTGATATCACCAAAGATTTCTTGAAGATTTTTCTGAGGCAAGGTAGAGATCAGAAGGAAGTCCTGATTAAATGGCTTCAGTCAATCTCTCACCACAGTTATGCTAACAGAAAACACCAATGCCACAGCTAAATGTCTTTCCATTTAGTGACAGTGTCAGTGTTAGATTTGCTCTGTTTTGTCTCTAATGCCCAATGGTTTCTCGGAAGCTTTCAGGCCAACCAGGCCGTTCTAGACCTCTCACATCATCGCAGTACCTACGTCCCAGGCCTTCTATCAGCCTGTGACTGGCTTCCCCCAGTCTCCAGAGCATCACACAAGCCTTTAACAAAGAGACAGATGAACAGGGTGGTAGAAAAGCATTCATGAGTGCTGGAAGGGGGGAAAAACAGGGCCTATGGTTTTTTCTTCTTTAGAACACAAAGAACTTTTATATTCAAAACCAGTGACATACATAACAAACAGTGACAAACACTTGCCATCATTCTATTTGTATCTGAACTGAACTACAAGTTATATTTCATGAGGGCAGAACATGTTACTATATTAAAGCTTCACCCAAAGTATCAAGAATTTTTGCCAGGCTATCTCTAAGCCTTAATATTAAAAAGTGATTCATAATTATATTTCTAAAACTCAATTTCTTTTATATCTAAGATTATTGATGTGTGAAAAAAATCCTAAATATACCAAAATATTAATACTGGTGAAATAACAGGTGATTTGCGTTCATTTACTTTTTGTTTTTTTCTTATCTATTTCACAATGAACATGTAATTTTTTATATTCCAATTTTCTTTTTTGGGGAGGGGGTACTCAATTTGATGAAAATAAATGTTTCCACACTTTTAGGCAGGAATACACATGTACTATTTCTGGAATTCCTCACTTTGACTTTTACTGTCACCCTCTCTCAAATGATCTCCTTCTAGGTAAATTATATCAAATATTAACAGCAATCAAATTCAACTGGTTCAACCTAGGATCCAAACCATAACTGAAGTTAGATCAAATTAAAAACAACTAAACCCAAACTTGACTGCCACCACTTATCAAAAAATACAACTTCTTGTTTTTGAGTAAAGGACCGATCGCCAATGATTCCCTAACAGCACTAGGCTGATTATGTCATATATATAAAATACCAAATAGTCACACCAAGAGATGTTTGACACTGGGATTCAGAAATGTGTAACGGGGGCCAGCCCCGTGGCCAAGTGGTTAAGTTCAAGCGTTCTGCTTCGGTGGCCTGGGGTCTCACTGGTTCAGATCCTGGGCACAGACATGGCACCACTCATCAGGCCATGCTGAGGTGGCATCCCACATAGCACAGCCAGAAGGACCTACAACTAGAATATACAACTACGTACTGGGGGGCTTTGGGGAGAAGAAGAAGAAAGAAAGAAAAGAAAGATTGGCAACAGATGTTAGCTCAGGTGCCAATCTTTAAAAAAAAAAAAGGGAAACCTGTAACAATGCTATGAGCCTGCCCCTTCCAAAGGGAGTCTCATCTGTCCTGTCGAAGAACCTCAGCTTTATGTACAATTCAACTCCTTTCAACATCTCGGCTCTGGACATTTCCAGGTGGGAAAGAAGAGGCAATGGATTCAGGAAGGATGGGGTTTTTCAGCCCTAATTCCACCCAATGGCAAGTTATGAAACCTGATTCTTAATTTCCTCATCTGTAAAACAGGGACAATAAAAACCACCCTTGTGATATTGCTCCAAGGACTTGAAATGATGCACGTTTACGATAAATAGTAGGTATCCAATAAATTATTATGACGTAACTGGTTTGCCTATGAGATAGACATC